TAAACTGTAGCTTCAATAATAAACCACGTTAGCTTCAGAATCAAGATACTTTCCTTTTAAAGCTCTAGAGCGTCAAGAGGACAAAGGTGGAGTCATTTGGAATAATTTCATAGCTTTTGAGCCGGTGTGCTGGTCGCCTCAGCTAGATCTTATACCTCACTATTTACATATGAAAGACATTTTACATCTCCTGTTGCAAGACCTTAACTCCTCCGACCTACATACATGTAATACTGATGTTGCAGAGGTTGAGAGTGTTGCAGGGATATAATTTTTACAGTAGGTGTTGTGGGTTGTAGGTGTTGTGGGGTTGTAGGTGTTGTGGGAGGTTATGGAGTGTTGCGAGATATTGTAGATAATGAGATGCAGAAGGTGGTAGTGACGTGGGTGTTACGTGGGTGTGACGTTGGTGTGTAACGTTGGTAGTGACGTGGGTGTGACGTGGGTGTGACGTTGGTAGTGACGTGGGTGTTACGTGGGTGTGACGTTGGTGTGACGTGGGTGTGACGTGGGTGTGACGTGGGTGTGACGTTGGTAGTGACGTGGGTGTGACGTGGGTGGTGGCTCTGTAATTGAATCTTACGTCATCATTCTCATAATTTCTCTGTAGCCAAAAGAAAGTTTGATGTTATTTATTCTCTTTACAACTATACTTCCTCTCATAGTCACAACCTATGTTATTCCCACCAGTCACCTTGTGTGTTGTATCTAGCTAAGTGTCTCTTGGTAGCGTCAGTAGCTGTAGATTATAGCTAAAATGGTCTACAAATCATGTATATAGTTAAGTAATGTATCGATGTGTATGTTAGTCGTTGATAGTCAGCAGTCATAGTTCTGGGTGGAAGAGGTTGTATTAAGCCTTAGGTATAGTCCTTATAACGGTAATGGTAACAAGCTGAAGTCTCTATTGGTAGGGTCATTGTCTGGGGGTTGAGGAATCGTGGTGGGGAGGTGACACGTTCTACCACGCCACCCAGGCCATTGGTGTTTACGCATCTACCGTTTATTGCCCTGGCCAGATAGAACTGTCGAAAGCAATATGGCTTTGAGAATTGTAGAGGAGACGACAAAACATAGACATCTCGATGAAACAATTTGGCTTCAAAGGCTTTTTAGGAAAGGCATTAGTTATCGTAGACGTCTGATAGCTGAGACATTGACGGGATAAAGTCGTCGTTGGGACAGACAGACACAAAGACAGACATAGAAATACTACAACCACCACACACTCAGGGCAATGCTGTTGACGCTACGTTTTATTGCCTGGAAATTGTCTGTCGGTTATGGCCGTCCGTCCGGTAGTTAATTTGTTTTCTGGTGGCGTGACCACTCTCTCTCCCTCCCGCGGGTACTCCAGATCCTTGTTATGTGGACGTCATACACGTCGCCTCCTCACGACACAAGTGTTTCTTCGTTGGGGTCACAGGACATTCCAGAGGTCGAGATGTTTGTCTGTCAATCTATAAAACTGTCGAAAGAAAATTAATGATATAGAGAGACCTGTTGGCGCCTCTGTCCTTAACATTGTTAGTTCGTCTTCGTCATCTACCGAGTGTTAGTGTGAAATATCTCATGTTCTCTATATGGAAGTTTATTGGATTGTCCACTTTGTAAATGTAATAACAAAGCATTAAGAAAATGTATCCAGTCGTCCTTACCTACACAGGTATGTGGGCATCAATAAATATATATTTTGGAAATGTATTCAGTGGCAATTTAAATCTCCAGCAGATGGTGATGGAGGCCATTGACTATCACCTAGAGGAGAGGTCTGGATCATGTTGGCAAACAAGGAACCTCAACTACAATGGTAGAGTCTCATAAAACAGAGACCATTATGTGTGTTTAAGACGGTCACAGTGTGGTGAGACTAATGTTTTGTGGATATTATGAGTTGATATTAGAGTCAGACGCTATAACACACACTATAATATATATAAATATATATATATATATATATATATATATATATATATATATATATATATATAAATATATATAAATATATATATTATATATATATATATAAATATATACAAATATATATATATATATATATATATATAAATATATATAATATATAAATATATATATATATATAATATATATAATATATACAATATATATATATATATATATATATATATATATACAAATATATATATATATATAAATATATATAAATATATACAAATATATATATATAAATATATATAAATATATAAATATATATATAATATAAATATATATAAATATATATATATAAATATATATATATATATATAATATATATAAATATATATATATATAAATATATAAATATATATATATATATATATATATATATATAAATATATATATATATAAATATATAAATATATATATATATAATTATATAAATATATATATATAAATATATAAATATATATATATAAATATATAAATATATATATAAATATATAATATATATAAATATATATATAAATATATATATATATATATATATATATATATATATATATATATATATATATATATATATATATATATATATATATATATATATATATATATATATAGGCCAGGTGGTGTTACTGCTTGTCGTACACAGCTTAAGGCTCGTCAAGGTCCGTAAGTTTAATAGGTTCCAGTGAGCGACCGTCGCCTCCTGTGGCCTGAGTGTCGTCCAGGCTTCTGTTAACTCCACCCTGTTAAAAAGTGATACACATTATCGTAAACCGCAGAAGGAAAAAATCTTTATAGTTTCATTATTTTGAGACATTCCTTGTTGACATTATATTATGACGATACAGATATATAGATTGATACGCAGATAGACAGAAACAGGGCGAAAGACAGATCAGACAGATAGACATTCACCCTCTAGTAAGGAATCAGTCTGTAGAATCAATTAGGTCAGTGTACACATGTGAGGTGATGATCGTAATGGAGTGGCTGGCTGGCTGGGGTCGTAAAACTTAAGTAGATAATTATACAAGACGAGGCCGAGGATAGCGTGGCCTGTTGTGGTTAACCCTTCCTACTTTTTTTTATAGAGAAAGGAGGGTGAAAGAATATTAGAGGTGGGGGGAAGGAAGAAGTTCGGAAACTGAAGAAGTTGAGAAGAGGTAGAGGCGGGCTGACCGCCTAGCTGTAGGTTAGCTAAGCTTAATAGTGTTAGGGTTGTGTCATGGGGTAGTTATTGCCTGTCGACACAAGCACTAAACAGCCTACCCTATCCCATATATGTGTGTTTTGAGAGTTTTTATATTCCGCAGACCCTACTGGCGGATGCTGGTCTAGGGAGATTGTCTATTGCCTGGCCGTATAGAATGGGGGTGGTAATGGACCTTTTGAGATTTAACTTTTGGGGAACCATGTATGGTTGTTGTCGTTGTCTGGTGGGAGTCTTTAAGAGTCTTGCTCTAATCGTTTTAGCTTTGGCCAGACTCTGCTGGCCAGGTGCAGTTGCTGGTTGATGGGTTTTATTCTCAGGTCTCTAGGTACCTCGGCTGTGGTTCTGGTGAAGGGTATCTTTCACCTGTGAAATCTTAGGCTTCATTTTGGACCACCTGTAATATTAATATTTGAGTGGTGCTCATAGTATGAAGAGGTACTGCTGGGTAAGTTAATATCGGTATGATAAATGATGTCACCAGTTTTATTTTCTCAGGAAGCGCTTTAGAGCGGTATAGTTTTTTCAGCTCTTTCTTGCCTTTTCCTTCCTGGTGTGGACATGATGAGTAACCTGTCGTGGATATATGCAGGCCCAGGAGGGTGCCTCTGCTTTGTATTCTATCTGGGCATTATTGTTAATAATGGATGGGTTTTCCTTCTGCATAAGGGTATTATTGTGAATTTCGAGACTGGTTTGGATTTTCCATTGATTTTCGTAATTATTTAACCTTTCTAATTCCCGCCTGGTATTGTCTAACTGTAACGCTCGTGATTTTTTGATGTGTTGTTATTTGAGTGATGTCGTCTGCATACATAATATCTTCGTTTCCGCTCATGAGAGGAAGGTCTCTCCATGTGTTGTCTACCAGTCTGACATTTCTGCCGTCATGCCAGACTTTGTCAAATACCTTCACATCCCGAGAGTTAGATTACATACACCATTCGCCGCGGCTCTGGCTATGTTTTCACATGCCAGGGCTATCGCTGTGTGGACTTCTTTCCTGAACCCAAATTGTCCCTTACCACACCCCCTCCATCACCCCACCCTCTCCTTGTTCTCCTCCCTCGTCCCTCACCACCAACCATCACCCACTTATCTATCACCGCAGCCTCTTCTATCTCTCACCTCCCGCCAGCAGAGCAGATCGAAGAAACTAAATTTAGACGATGTACTTATGCTCTTAAAATATTTTATTTATTTAATTCAATAGTTGCTGTAATACTGCGTTTACGTATGATATTCATTATATATAAATTAGATTCTAAATGATAGAAAATATAAGGTAGTATAAGAATTAATGTCACTACTCTAGGTATTTATCAGAACGTAAGCAACAAGGAGTGGTATGTTCACGTTACTGCCCAACCTCTCCACGACACCTGAAGATGAAATGGTCGAACAGGAAAGAAATCTTGAGAAATGTGTCCATCAGTATCAACCATAGAGCCTCTTAGATAAGGTTGATATAGTGAAGACATAATAATAGTCAACATTAACACATGGTTGGTGCTCCTGTTAGGTGCTGAATATTATTCCTGTTTTATTATTAGGTACCAATAGTGTTTATATTATTCTGCCCCCCACCGATTTGTTGTTGTGTTTCCTCATCCTTACTCTGTCCGGGAGGGATAGAATGAGAATGGGATCTATGTGAAGGACTTATGTGCAGGAGTCGGTCACTTGACAATTAGCGTCGTATCCTCTGGTATTAAGTAACTTAACGAAGTTCACAGAACCACCCGTTAAGACTCCAATAAGCTGCGTATTGTGCTGGTCGCAGCAAACTGCAGATAAGATGAAGTGTATCAGCTGGTTTCACCAGTGCAGGAAGACATTCCTAGTCGGCAGTGCAAATTTTCCTGCCACAGAAGCTGCCGAGAAAAATTACCAGGAAAGCAAATCAGAGATACCAAGGATGAGATATTGCTTCACCTTCCTGTTGCATCATGCAATATAGAACCTGCAGCACCTGGAACCAAGAAGGCTGAGCAGGCTAGACGCCTCCAATTTCAGCATAAGAACAGTGCTTCATTTGTGGGTCAAAAAAACCCTGACAGCTCAACGAAGGGAGACGTTGACTGACACCTGTTAGTGCTGACACCGGAGAGTCATCCCGCAGAAGTTAAACAAACATCCGAAAACAAAAAGATGAGTTGATGCGGCCACATGTTGTCACATCCTCATCTGTTTGCATTTGGAGGACAAATCAGTACCACAGCTCGTGGTATTTACGGTACATATGAGAGGAAGATTCAGACATCATCTCTAAGTTTGGGAAGGGTGAACCAACAAGCCATGACTGGGCATTTCAGATGTTGGCGCAGGATATTTAGGTAGTACTTTAGAGTTCGAGGGAAGAAACAGAGTTTTATTATGGAAGCTGAAGTAATGACTCGAGCGTCACTCCTGAACAGATTGTTCTTTATCGAACGTCTAGGTTTTTCTGATTTTATTTGCTCAATTAACTCATTGTTGGCGATGCCTCGACAAAGCAGCACGATTACAGCCAGAGTTATCACAGCAACATGAGCAAGAAGATAAGAGACCTAAAGAGACCTAAAGAAGCCCTTACCAGCAGCGTGAATATGGAGACCCTGTTCCCACAAGGAGCAGCTGGGATACCGAGGAAAGCCACGTCAGATATTGAAGGCCTAACTCACACTTACATATCCACAACACAGTTTGAGTTCGAGCACTGCAGAAGATTTGTACCTGACTCACTGAATGATCTCACCCTCTCGACCGCAACAGTGAAGGTGACAATAACAATGGTAGGAGGAGCAGTGATACAACAGCCAGCAGTGATACAACAGCCAGCAGTGATACAACAGCCAGCAGTGATACAACAGCCAGCAATGATACAACAACCAGCAGTGATACAACAGAAACAGATTTAGAGATGATAGCTACACGTAGAAAATTTTACCTCTTTTGGTATTTATAATATTCATAATGGCTACCGACAACCGTAATAAAAAAAGTGTTTTATTTCTAAGAGTATTATTTCCACATCCTCACACCTGGATTATATATGTAGGTGTGTATGGTGTCTGTCAGGTGTGTAACATGTTGGGTAAGTGGGCCCCATGCCTAATAGTCCCTACTTCTTATGGGTCTTATTCAATTTCGTGTTCCTAATTCTAATGGGGTTTAATCTTAATGGGGTCTATTCTTGATGGGGTCTAATCTTAATGGGGTCTTAATCTTATGGGGTCTAATATTAATGGGGTCCTATTAATAGGGGTCTAATATTTATAGGGTCTAATCTTAATGGGGTCTAATCTTAATGGGGTCTAATATTAATGGGGTCTAATATTTGGAGGGTCTTAATCTTAATGGGGTCTTAATCTTAATGGGGTCTAATCTTAATGGATCTAATATTAATGGGGTCTAATCTTAATGGGGTCTAATCTTAATAGGTCCTAATCTTAATGGGGTCTAATCTTAATGGGGTCTAATATTAATGGGGCCTATTATCTCAACGTCATCCGTCACCCTCCACTCGTCACCCATCAAACTTCAGCCCTCACCCTCGTCATCATCACCCTTCATCCTCATCCATCACCCGTCACCATCACCCATCACCATCACCCGTCACCATCACCCGTCACCATCACCCATCACGTCACCATCACCGTCACCATCACCATCACCTCACCATCACCCGTCACCATCACCCGTCACCATCACCCGTCACCCAGTCAACATCACCATCACATCACCGTCACCATCACCCGTCACCATCACCCATCACCCTCACCCGTCACCATCACCGTCCCATCACCCGTCACCATCACCATCACCATCACCCATCACCCATCACCCGCTCCTTGAAAGCCATCTCTCTCAATTCTGTCGCGGCGGAAGTGGAACTATTCTTAAATTTTCCAACTTTGCGTCCGGATCGACTTTCATATGACTTGACTATAACTATTTAAGTATCTTGGTTTTATCACTTAATCGAGTTGTTGTTGGAATAAGATGATTTAGTTTATGATAAGTATGATATGATAAGACACACAGACAGTTATAAAACACATTGATTTAATATAAGAAAGAACATTACAAATAAAAAAAAAGGAATTGTATGTATGTATGTATGTATGTATGTATGTATGTATGTATGTATGTATGTATGTATGTATGTATGTATTTCCGCCGCCTCTGTATATATTCCTAATTTTTCCCCCACCCCCAAAAAAAAGGAAATAATTATCGCTACAGGCTTGGACAATGATATACTCGTGTTGTTGCCTTGTCATGAGCTCACGGCACTGGTAGTCTTTTTCCTGTGTCATTACGTCACACCACGGGATAAATAAGATGTACTTTGATATAAAACTCGAAAGGTTATCAGGCTGAATCTGGCTCATGACGTCATCATAACTTTCGGAGAGAGAGAAAACAGGAAATATTTTACAGAAAACAGCTTTTGAAGGACTTTGGTAATGCAACTTGTTAGGGTTGAAGGGAGGGAGGGGTGGGGAGGAGAGTGGGGTGGAGGGAGGAGGGTGGTGGAGGGGAGAGGGAGGGTGGGGGGGTGGTGGAGGAGAGGGGAGGGTGGTGGTGGGGAGAGTGGTGGAGGAGGGGGGGGGGGGGGGGGGGGGGGGAGGAGAGTGGTGGTGGGGGGAGGAGAGGGGAGGAGGAGGAGGGGGAGGAGGAATGAAATGGGAAGGAGGAGAGTGGAATGGGAGGAGGAAAAGGGTGGAGGAGGAGGAGGAGGAGGAAGAAGAAGGAAAACATGGGGAGGAGGAGAAGAGTTGTGAGAGAGGCTGAGGTATATAGCCCAGGAAATTATACTTGGTATGTTCCCTTCTTCCTCTACCCACCCCTAAGCTGCCCTTCCTCCCCACCCTACCCCTTCCTCACCCCTGCCCTTTTTCCCCCCCCTCTCTACCCCTGCCTCCCCCCTTCCCACCCTCCCCACCCTTCCTCCCCTCACCCCTGCCCTCCCCCCTCCCTCCACCTCACCCCTACCTCCCCACCCGTAACCCCCCTCAAGCCCAACTTGCCAAACTTGGATCATTCAACTGTTAACAACCCAAGACATTGCGTGGAATTGGGTATAAATACACCCACCAGGCCGATCTTTGTGAAAGCAAATCTGAGTCGCTTGAGGCTTGGGATCTAAAGGCGACGTTATGGGCAAAGTTAGCGTGCGAATTGCCCATTTTTCATCCATTATTGCACGAGGGGTAGGTGGAGGGCGAGCCGTCTTATATCAGCACCATGATAAAAATTCGACCTCGTATGTATTAAGCCGAGATAAATCCTCCTTTCAAGACGTCCCTTTAAAGTTTCCCGACGAGCCTGGGCGTATAAAAACAAATGGCACCGTAAATCAACCAGAAATATCCAATGATCATTTTATGAAGAAACTTCCAAAGAGATGCAGTAAATCTCTGAGCTTCCACCGTCTTCTAAATTAAGATAAATATGCAAGTGTCTTGGAAGAAGCCACAAGCACAAGCACAAGATGATGGAGGTAGATGCTTGTGTGTACTGGCGATCACAAGAAGATGCTTATCGTCCTGCAAGAATAGACAGGCTGAAGAATATTTACACACACAACTATACACCCACATACTATCACGTAGACAAATACTACCCGCATACACTATGATACACACACATATACACACGGACAAATAATACCTGCATACATTTTCATACACACAAACACACACCATAAAATAAAATGCAAGTTGGCACAAATACACACAGAGATAAATGTGTTCACACAGAAGAACAAATATTCATGCACACAGACTCAACCAGACGAAAACGAACACACACAATTCCCTACTCGTTCTAATCTCCATATCTCTCTCTCTCTCTCCACACACACACACACACACACACACACACACACACACACACACACACACACCCACACACACACCACCCACCCACCCACCCACGTCTTCCTTCACATAAACCAGGCAGCACTATATCATCCACAACCATAAACGAAAAGACTGATTGTCCTCATTTCCTAGTAATTTCCTCAAGGACATTCCACCTGGATCAAACAACACTCATTTATCCCCAACTCAACACACTTTCTGGTACATGTCCTTCCTCCGCAAAAATTCTTCTTCCTTCACTTTTATAGTTTTTTTAAATTTATGTTTCATTTTTGGGGATTATATTCGTTTTACGTTAATTTGCTTCGTGTTGTGTTGGTAGTGGTGGTGGTAGTAAATAGGTAGTTATAGTTGTAATGGCATTAGTGGTAGTAGTAGTAGTAGTAGTAGTAGTAGTAGTAGTAGTAGTGTAGTAGTAAGTAGTAGGTAGTAGTAAGTGTGGGAAAAGTGTTTCTCGTGAAGATCTCTTACTCAGGAATCTTCCGGTGGGGTGATGCCAATAAACAGAGCGACTTTACAACTACTGAAGAGAAACATCCCCTGCAAGTGAAGATGAAGGCATCAGGTTCCAGGGTGCCTATATCCCACCAAATGCTGTCCTGTTCGAGAAAATAACAGGAGATGGTGTGGAAAAAGGCACTGAAGACTCGTGGAGGAGCCGGCCCTTCAGGTCTGGATGCAAACAGTTGGAGGTAGAGATTGTGTCAATTTCAACATGTTAAAAATCAAATTTGGTAGTCAAAATATTGTGCCTCTTTATGTCTAAACTTGAGATTAGCAAACAAAATGAATTGAAATAACCCTCACCTACATCAATTATACCTTAAAGTTTCAAATATCAGTATTTCAACAAATTAATGAGACTTGATTAGAATTATTCATGATATTAACTAATCTCATGTAAGCATATGGATTATGGGGTATTTTATGGTTCTATAGCTTGTGTACAATATGCATGTCAGAACATGAACATGAACAGGCTCTCCGTGTGGGACAGTTTAATTCTTGTTTTGACTTGTACCAAGCGTGAGGATAAGGCGCCCGGCTCACTCTCCTTCTAGATATCATAGACGGTGGTTTTGCTCTCATTGCACTTGCACCTACTCTACCAGACAAATTCTACATTTTAATTATTGTAAGTAGGGCATATTGATTGTCGCAGTTACTTATATCATTGTATAAAACATTATGTTCTAGAAATTATTATGTTATTTC